GTCTAAAGAGCATCAGACTAAAACAAGCCTGAGACTCACTCTGTTCACTTTATCCACATCCCTCCCTCAGCCCCCTAAACTAATGGCATCTCAATCTTACCACTGTGATGGGAGTTTAGGCTATCCCAACATACCTGTGAATACCTGAGTGAATGGAACCAGAGAAAAGCAGACAGCAAGGGAATGCACATTTCCCCCAGTGTCAGCACTGATTTGGGTTCAGCTGAAGCTGGCAGTAGCCCCAGGCCTCACAGTCATCACCTGGGGAGGCAAAAATTTTGTTGCTTTTTTCAAAGAGATGAATAATAAACATGTCATTCTGATCTCTTACTATTTAGCTTTTGGGAAAGGGGGAGATGGAGGGAGGAAAAGAGAGTGACAAAGACAGACTCTTGTCTCCTCTCACGCTAAGATGGGATGAGTTCCTCTCTACTTAGTAATGCAGAAGGGAAAGACAGCCACACCCACATGCACTCACTATAATTATTTTACATAAATGATTCCATTAACCAGTAAATAGGTACGATTTGATATATGATTAACCAAATCCTTGGAGAGGAGCAAAAAACTCATCCTTGAATTAGGAGTGAAAAGGTGGACTGGCGCTGCCTCTAAAGGAGAGTGAAGAACATACCTACAATGATCCTTGTTCTCTGCTCCACAGGAAGATGTGTGGCAGGTTCCTGAGGCAGCTGTTGGCTGAAGAGAGCCAGCACTCCACCCCAGTGGGACGTCTTTTGCTTCCTGTGCTCCTGGGATTCCGCCTCCTGCTGCTGGCTGCCGCTGGGACTGGGGTCTATGGCGATGAGCAGAGTGAATTTGTGTGCAACACCCAGCAACCAGGTTGCAAGGCTGCCTGCTACGATGCCTTCCACCCCCTCTCCCCACTGCGCTTCTGGGCTTTTCAGGTCATCTTGGTGGCTGTGCCCAGCACCCTCTACATGGGTTTCACCCTGTATCATGTGATCTGGCATTGGGAAGAATCAGGAAATGTGAAGAAGGAGGAGGAGACCCTTATCCAAGAAGGGGAGAGCAGCAGAGATGCCTCAGGGGCTGGAAGCCGCAGGCTGCTCTGGGCCTATGTAGCACATATGGGGGTTCGACTAGTCCTTGAAGGGTTGGCCTTGGGGAGTCAGTACTATATGTATGGGTTCAAGATGCCCAGCTCCTTTGCATGTCGTAGAGAGCCTTGCCTTGGTAGTATAACCTGCAATCCATCCCGCCCCTCTGAGAAGACTATCCTCCTAAAGACCATGTTTGGGGTTAGTGGGCTCTGTCTCTCATTTACCCTTTTGGAACTTGTATTTCTATATCTGGGGAGACAGTGGAGGACATGGAAGCAGAAATCTTCTTCTTCTAAAAACTTCTTAATGTCAGAGAGCACCAGAAGATGGAAAGAACCAGTTGATAACTTCCCAGTGGTGTAAACAAAAGAGCAATTCCAAGGAGCAGGTAAGAAGGGTGCTCATGATTCTCTTTCTTCCTTCTCTGTCATGATGATCTCCTTCCAGGGCAGATCTCTCACCCTTCAGGGGAGGACAACTTGCACATGGTACAAGTAGAAAATCTGGTTGTAGACAGATGTGTTCTGGCCACTGCTTCCAACCCACCTACTAACCCCCTCCCCATCAATTTGAAGATTGCCTTCCAATGAACCAGGACTGGAGTAGTTAGTGAGTTGGCCATTCCAAGTACTGCCTGTACCTCCTATTCTTCCATTTAAGTCTCTTCCCACTTAGAACAAGTCTAGATTATGCTTGATTCTCTACTTTGCAGAGTTATGAAGTCACCTGTCTCATCTCTGAAGGAAACCGTATGACTGGATCTTCTTCCTAACATTCAATGAGTGGGGCTTTACATCCAAGACAAGATAGATGCTGTTGAAGAATCTTTAAGGGCCATGATGGGCCATGTTGTGTGAGATATTTCCTTGAAGAAGCCCTGATGGTGTCTTCTCGTCAAAATTCTCTGTTGTCAGCATCGCAATTTTCATGCTTGGTTCAAGTCACCCAGAAGAAGCCTCTAGTGAAATACTGCTTCTTCCTGCCCTGCTCAACAAATATTAACTATTGCTGCTGGCATTCCTGTTGCTGAAGACAATGCTCCTTCCTGTCTTAGTGACTCCACTCATCTCTTTTTCTGTCATTCCACATTCTCTGCTCCTCTCAGCTTCAGAGGCCTGTAACCCAAGAATGCCTACAGCCCTGCAACATATGTCATAGCCAGAAACTCTGGCCTTCTAAGCATATATAACCCAATCTCCTTTAATATTTAGATGAGATTTATTCAAAAATCTAATCACA